TTGGTAAACAAATATGATAAAGGCATATCAAAAACATTTACAAGTGAAATTTTAGCTGTAAGATCAACTCTTAAAAATCAAATAAATCAACTTAATTCAACTAGAGATCTTGCTCAACTTTTAATGGTGAAAAATCATTCTTTAACAGCCAGTTTCCTAGAAGTATGTACTACTCTTTTATTATTTTTGACAATTCCTGTTACATGTGCAAGCGCGGAACGGTCATTTTGGAAACTAAAAATTATTAAAAGATATTTAAAGAGTAAAATGATACAAGATCATTTAAGTGGCCTGGCATTAATTTCAATCGAATAAGAAACAGCCCGAGAAGTTGACTTTGAAGATTTAATCGATATGTTTGCCGAAGCAAAAGCAAGAAATTTTGAATATTTAAATTTTGTATTGCTTTGTATATATTTTTTAAACCAAAAAATGTTTAGTAAAATTTTACTATAAAAATAATATTACACTAAACATGTTTTTTATTGTTTGTAGCCTTAAAGGGTAGAATTGTATAGGTGGTTAGTTTTTGAAGGATATTCCTCATATCTTGTTCTTCCAAATTTATAAAACTAAGGGCCCGATTGGATTATTTTGCCACGGGCATTAAAAGTTCTGGTTACGCCACTGATCTTGACTGATGATAAAAATTCAAACATGTTTGAATTTCATCAGTCATAAAATTTGACTGTCAGTCATTATCAGTCATATACATATACGGTCAGTCATGAATGTCAATCACGTTGATTGTCATTCAATACTGACCGTGTATGGGGGCCTTTATATTCCAGAGGTCAGTCCTATATTAGTATATGAAACTCACGTACTTACTATTAACTGGCTTTTTGAACGCTTTGGAGATAATATACAGGGCCGTATTAACGTATAGGCACTGTGCCTAGGGTCTACGAAAATGTGTGGCTACGATTTTTTTGTAGTACACAAATTGGTATAAAAAATTTTTTTTTATGATTTTTAACAATTTATATTATATATGTTTTTGATTAAAATGAATTTTTAAAACATTTGTTAAAACTTATCGTATAAAAATTTATAGTTATGATATAAAAGTTTAGATTTGTTTTTTATGTTGTAAATATAATTGTTTTTAAAACCTTAACACAGCATGAGATTCAATATTTCCTCTCCCAAAGAGAAGGTTTCTTATCCATTTAAATACTGGACAACGGCCCTGCAATGACTAGGGGCCTAGGATCTACGATAGTATTAATCCGGGCCTGATAATATAGATTTGATTATAAGTGGGAACTATAATTTTCGAGGCACTACGTTTTCATATGACAATAATGGTTTAGTTGTTAGTAGTGATGGGCATAATCGAATGATTTCAATAATCGATTTATTAGTATTCGAGACATTTTTATAATCGAGAGATGTCTCGAAATAATCCATCGAAATATTAACAATCGAGATACGTAATTAGTAGGGAACGGATTTATATGTAAATGCATATTTTTCTTAAAACGAGATATTTAAGATTCAATAAGAAATTTTAATGATTTAAATCATTCTTATTAAAATGATGATACTTTTATTTCACATATTCTTACATATTTTGGTTAGTTACATATTTTTACATATTTCATTTATTTTTAAATATTTTTAAACATATTATTATCATTTCATCATCATCGTCTCTTCGTACGAAAATACAAGAAATTATTTCAAAATTAGATCCAGAAACTTCTACGGCTATTGGAAAAGCTCAAAATATTATGGAAAATAAATCATTGAAAATAATTTAATTTTAATTAAAATAATTTAACAAAATTATTAATAAAAAATATGTCCCCAAATGATAGTATGCAAATTGTTGAATCAGCGATTAAAACTCGTAAGCAGACCAATAGAAGTTGTAAAAAAGAAAATTCATGCTGTTACAAAAAAAAATTCCAGGCTTTATTGATTTTAAAACAATCAATGACATAATGAGTGGCAGATACCCTTCTAAAAATTTGGAATTATCGCCTTCTGATAGTATGCGCTTGAAATATGCTTTTAATACATCAGTGGATGTGAAACGATAATTTAGCCGTCTTAAAAATATTTTGATACCTAACCTCAAAAAATTCAATAATACACTGATCGCATTGTTTAATAAAAATAACCTCGTTTTCTCCTCTCCTTTTAGTTCATACAATTCTCGTTCCACTTTCATTGGACTACCACAGGGTAGTTGTATAAGTCCAATACTATTCAATATTTACTTGAGCATAATCGCTAAGCACCTGACAAGGCTGGGTCATTAGTGTCTTATATACGCCGATGATATGGTAATTTTTACCTCCAATAAGTCTATTGATCTTGCTATTACTCTTCAAAATCAAACTCTTAACGACCTAAAAGTTATTCTGGACAAGGTCTTATTCGAAGTCGCCCCAGATTTGTAACTCTGTCATTTTCACCCGACGTAGATATCTAGATGCCCAAAATATATATTTCAATAATAATATTATCCCCTATGTTCCCAATATCACTTATCTAGGTATCACCTTAGACGCCAAACTTTGTTGGAAACCACTAATTACCTCTCTCTCAGCTACTATTTCCCGATGGTCCAACTTCCTCAGGTCGGTAACTATAGTACCTGGTGGGGTTTCCACCCTTCTAGTTTATTAATGATCTATCGTACCCTCATACGGTCCAAACTAGATTATGGTTGTTTCTTTTTCGGCTCAGCATCATGTTAAAATTTGAACAAAATAAATAAAATCCAAATCTCCTGTCTCAGAAATATCATGGGTTACCTAAGTTCAACCCCCTTCCCAGTTATCGAAGTAGAATCAGACAGTGTTCCCTTTAACATCAGATGCCGATGGCTTGCCAGTAAATTTCTTTTAAAGAAACTTGCTCACTCCAATTATCTTATTTTTAACATGTATTACTCATTATTCCTCATTTGGCGATATGTTCCGAAGTCATTACCAATTTTCTCATCAACAGCTAACTCTTTCAAATTTTCATCAATACATTTTAAACTTAACCAAACTCCCTCTTTATGAACAATCATATGAATCTCTACTAGCAGGTACTAGGTACCAATATTGTTAAATAATACCCATAAGTTCATTAATAAAAGGTCGTATTTGTATTGTTGGATTATCTGGGGGGGGGGGGCAAAATTATTTCTTTATCACTCAAAAAGTTGTCAGAGGGGGCACTTGCCTCCTCTTGTCACCCCACAATTACGCCACTGCGCTCCTGTTTAGTAAGATCTCAGAAGACCGTGGTCTTTTGTCTTAGCTCTAACCGATAAATCTAATCGACAATATACTGTTATTATTAATTTATGAAATGATCAAAAATATTTGTGGTTTATTTGTTTAATTTTTTTATTATCTTTTTTCAAAGTTGGTTAATGGTATAATGAATGAATTGCAATAATGAGTTCTTAAGCCATAAAGATGGTTCCCTTAGAGGATTCCCGTAGGGGGACCTACCAACATTGTCATCGGGCGTTTTGAAGTTGTGTTATTACGCAATACATGGATACATTTCTGATGTATTTACATCATAGACAAGCGATTCTTAAAGTGTGTTCCGCGGAACCTAAGGGTTCCGTGGGACAATCTTAAGAGTTCCCCAAGGTTTATATGAATATTGAGAACGGTAATTATTGTAAATAATAATCATGAACTATCTATAAAACATTTTGGCATTCGTGTAGCAGGTGATCTACTCGAGGGGGGGGGGGGGGATATGCGAATTCAGGACGAGTGATCTACGTTTTAATATATTAAAAATGTGTTTTTATACTATAGTATAAAAACACATTTTTTACTAGGAGTACGTCATAACATACAAATATTCGTCAAATATAAAAATAAAAAAATAATTAGCCAAATATAATTATAATTTTAATTACAGTAAACATTTTATAACATTCAGACACACGCATTATAGACAAACTCTGACCAACGAACAATTTGAATCTAACCCAGCGATTCTTAACCTGTGGTTCGCAGCCCTATAGAAGTCCATGATACTCATTTCAAGGGTCTGCGACTGCCCTAACACATAAAATACGTCAATACGTGACATGAGTGCATTATTATAATATTGTTGGATTATTATTATTATTTTCTTTTTCATATAATTTTTATTGTACAATAGATAGACCTTATCTTCATACGATTTTCTAAAACTTGTATCTTAAGTATAACACCAACCATCACATTAAGTTAATAAAAATTAAATTTTAAGAATATTCAAATAAAAAAAGTGAAAACTAAAATAATTTAATTTAAATTAATAGAAAAATTAAGTGTAATAAAAATAATAATAAATATGTATGTTTTGTTATGCCTACTAATATAATTTATTATATAAAATCATTATTATTATTTTGGTTTTAATAACATGAGATGTTTTGTAAAAAATAATAATGTATTAGAAAAAACATTGTTATGGCGGTTCGCAATTTCTAATAATATTCCATCATGTGTCCGTGATCTACAAAAGGTTAAGAAACACTGAACTAACCTATCCAGCAACATTGCTAATGACTCGTAGTTATATTGTAAATGTTATTAATCGTTTTCGTAATACTGTCCCACTGCGGTCCACGATAATGTGCGTATAATAATAGTATAATATAATAATAGGTAATAATAATTGTAGATCATCAACTATTCCTTGTATAATACGGTAGATCACCTGATACACCTAAAAAGAGGCCGAAGATCACCTGCTACGTGAATGCCAACATTTTTTGGAGTATAGGTTTTACTATAAATAAATTAAAAATTGGGGTCAAGTTGGAATTAGAGATGTTGGGGTTCTACGAAACAAAAAATATTTTGTAAGGGTTCCGTGATCGTAAAAGTTTGGGAACCGCTGCCATAGATAATAGAGTAATTATTATTATTATTTTTTATTAATAGTATAATAGTTATTTTTTTATCTATTATTTACATTAAATAGGTCATAACAACAAGTTCATGAATGACGGTCAAGGTCACCGGATCGTTATCAATACTGATAACACGGATGTCTTTCCACTAACCGTCATTCATCATAATGGAAACGTAAATCGCGTATTACGTATTACAGATGACAATATAACGCGACTGGATGAATGGCACCTCAAAAGCAATTGTTCATGACATCCGATCCTCTTGTACGGATCGGTCTCTGCCGGAAACGTTTTATGAAACCAATGGCGACCGAAAACATGAGTTTGACGCCCGTTCCGGTGACGAAACCGAAAACAACGACAATTGTCACTACTGCTGCTGCCGCACCAAGACCGGACGTCACGAAGTTCACGTTTTAGTAGCAATAGAAATAGAAAGTCGTTAACTTGCTGGCTGAGTTGTGGCCCGTTCGATTGCACCAAGCAGGCCCACGGCCAACGAATAGACTCTGCCGCCCCACTACGGACACGACGCATGGAAAAATATTAATAACCCGGAATGGTGAACGTCGACAGTCACTACGACCATGTGTGTCCATGGACCGTTGCCACCACCACGACCGTTTTGAGGTCCTCTAGCCGCTTGTACTACCGGTTGCGCGAGTGCGATGACGGTCACTAGTGAACGTTGAACCGACGTGTACGTAACGTGTGCGTCTACCAACGGTGTCGTTTTCTGCGAGCGTACGGCCTGTGCTGACGCGAACAAAACAGGAACGTGCAGTCGCGGGTGCTGTTCTTGCTGACAACCGTTTCTCGTCCACCCGTGGACATGGTGAGGCGGTGATATACGTGTGAATCGTCTTGTCCTTCGACCGTCACGCGCGTATGTTGTTGATATAATCGTATTTCCCCCTCGCAGGTCCGACGAACTGTTGTCGTGTGCGAAAAACGATCGAAGGTCGACTGTTCGATGCCAGTTTAGTGTGCGCTCTAGGACACGTCAAAATGGACGATTTGACGTGAGTATAACTTATAAACTCAATAACTTATAACATAACTTCTCCATCATTCGATTTTTCCCTGAGCTCTTCGTTATCATACATTACTATAATACTATTTATCCTACGTTTTAAGGTTCTACATTGTTACTTATAATGTCGCTACTAAATCTCCTGATCAGCCCTTGAGTGATTTTCTGCAATGGGATGGTCGTACCAAACAACAGTTACCTGACTTTTGTCTATTTGGGTAAGTAATTCATTCCTTTGGAATAAAACAATTACTTTAAACTAATAACATCATGCAACACATTTTGTTAAATAAATTAGTTTCATATAAATTTGGTATTGAAGTATAGACATAATTACACTTGATTGTAGAATGGTTTATCATGATAGTTATTACTCCAATTATTTGTATCTGCTATATGCATAAATGGGATGTTGAACAATTATGCTTTATATACGTAAAAAAAAAAACAATACGACCTGTTACCTAATAAATTAGAATTCTTTAAACAAGTATCTGATTAAACTATTGTTGAAAAAAAAAGTAGAAAAGAACATGATATATTTTAATGATGATCCATTGTACCTTATAATTTATATTGTATTCAGCGTATCATTTAATTATAAATTGTGTAATGTTTTTATTATTTATTTTGGTTTTTTTTTACATATCTATTAACAATAATTTTGTAGAAAATGTAAAAACATCATTTTTCTATAGACAATAGGTTTTTTTCTTCTAATTATCAATTTTGCTTTTGTTAAAGACATTGTAGTAATGCAAGTATATAAAAATAAGTATGATGTTAAACACTAGATTTTACAATTTACAATTTTACATTATTTCTTTACAGCAAATTGACTTCAGTTGTAAAATTAATATTATTTGTAATTTGTTATTACACAAAATACATTAAAACCTATAAAATCTTCCCTACTTTTTATTTCACTTGAATGACTATATATATGTTATGAAATTAAATACAGTTTTAAATGACTTGCATATTATTCAATGATTATAATTAAATATTTATAAATTGAAATTATTTAAACAAATAATTAAATTAGTTTTCAATATTTGTAAGAATAAATATTAGAATAAAGCTATATAATTTTCAAATATGACCTCCAAAAGACAATAAAAGTGAAGTACTTTATAGATACTCAGTATATAAGTTACTAGATTGGTTAAATCTTATTTTAATCTTTAATTTAATTCTGTATGATATCTCTTTAAAGTTTCTTAATCAAAAAAAACTGGCATGTTTTAAATTAAAATTTCCTAGTTTCGCTTTATTTTAATATTATATTTTTTTAATGATAGTTTGCTGTAAAATTGTTATCTCTATTTTTATATTTTAGTTTTCAAGAAATCAAGGCTCAACCTCAAAACTTATTATTGGATTCAGTATTTGATGATCCTTGGACAGCAGCTCTTAGGTAAATTTTAATATCACATTTTAATTTTGTTATTATTATTAAAATATATTTATTAGAGATGTTTTGAGTAATTATGATTATGTGAAAATACGAACGGTGAAAATGGTTGGACTGCTGTTAAATGTGTTTTGTAAAAGAAAACACATTCCACTTTTAAAAGAAATGGAAATTTCAGAAACTCCAACCGGATTATTAGGTCTTTGGGTAAAATTGTTATTTTATAATTTAATCATTTTTATTTTTACATAACTATAAAAAAAACTTTTAGGGAAATAAAGGTGCTGTCAGTTTCAGTTTTAAAATTGCTGATATCACAATATGTTGTGTTAACTGTCATTTTGCTGCACATGAAGAATATTTAAAACGTCGAATTAGTGACTATCATACAATTATTGAAAGTCAATATTTTGGTTCATCTAGAAAGAGCATTTTAAATCATGAGTATATCATTTTATAATTCTGTTAATTTTTAGATTTTAATCTATTAATTACCATATTTCATATTCTTATAATTAAATAATTTAAGTTTTTATAAAATATGAAAAGAAATAATTAATCTCAATTCTTAATATTAATATATTTTAATGTTATACTTTTTATAAGAGTCATGCATTCATTTTTATAAATAATTTTAGTATTTTATTAATTAATTAATTGAATATAATTTTGTCTTCATTAACTATAAAACTTGTATATTTATATTTACTTTTTTCTTCTAGCTATGTATTTTGGTTTGGTGATCTTAATTTCCGTTTAGACAAAAGTAAATTAAAATCAGCTGAAGAAATTGCTCACTCTATTAATAATGGAAAATTAACACATAAAACTGCAAATACATTAACTGATGCTTGGGCACAAGATGAGTTGAGTTTAGTTATGAAAAAATCAAAAGCTTTTGAAGGCTTTTTTGAAATATTGCCTATGTTTCCACCTACTTATAGATATATTTTTGGTTCTTCTAATTATGATCTCAAGTACGTTTTTATATTATTCATTATATCTTGCCGTCTAAGGTCACTAAAATCTTTAATTTTTTTGGTGGTTATTAATAATAATATCATTATTGTATTTTCACTTAATTTAACAATATATTTTATGATGTTAATTCTGCTAAAAATTTGAAAGTTGATAATAAAATTGAATAATTAGTTTATTTAAGTTATGTTATGGCATTGAGTTAACATTTTAAAAATATATTAACATTACTAATTATTTCTATTCCAAATTAAATTTACTTTTAATGTCAATAAAAAATTCTCAAATTCTTTGCATTGAAATTGCTGTTGGAATAAAATTGATCCCAGATATTATTAACCGCAATATTTGTGATTATAGAACATAAATATTATTCCATAAATGTAATCAGTGGCGCAACCAGGGAGGTGGACTCCGGGTCTGGACCTTCCCCTTGGTACATATAATAGTATATTAATATCATATTCTAGATATATATATTATAATTTTTTATTATTTGTATATTAGTTTATTTTGTCAGACCCCCCCATGAAAAATTCCTGATTGCGCTACTGAATGTAATGGATACTCAATCAAGACTTTACTTAAAATACATTAAGTACATACAATTATAATTGTACTTATCAAAATAGTATAACATTTGTATAGCTTCAATAATCAGTATTTAAATTGTTAGTTATTAATTTGTAACAATAACAAATATTAACTTGCGTATTATTTTCAATAATTATTCTTTAAAAACAAATTATTTGGTGTGTAAATAAACCTATTATTAAATTTTGTATGTGACTCGTTCAATTTTAACTCTATGAATTGATAATTCTTGTACCCTTATCAATTAAAAAAAAATTGAAAATTTTTAAAGAAAGTTGTAACAATTATTTGTATTTTTTATTCTTAGAAGAAGACCTGCATGGACAGATCGTATTTTGTACAAAACTATTGATTCGTCTCATGAAAAGTCTGAGTTGGAAGTGTTATCATATAATTATATTAATACTATCAAATTGAGTGATCATAGGCCAGTTTATGGTGAATCTAGTATTCAAGTAATTATATTGAAATATTTCACTTATATTTTATTTTCATTTTATAATTTTTTTTTGTAGATAAATAGTAATAAAAATGTTGACTTAGTTGAACAACCTGTAATTTTTCAATCAATAGAGGCATGGCAATTAGAAACTGAAAATGAAGTTAATTTGAGAATAAAAGATTATAATCCAGGGGTGAATGACTGGATTGGAGTATTCAATGTATGTTTAAAATTATTTTTTTTTTACATACATTTTGTACATTTTTCTATTATTTTTTTAAGGAAAATTTTACAAGTCTTGAAGACTATCTATCATATGTTTACTTGCCATCGGAGACTGTAGAACTTGAAGAATCAAATGATGGGTACAGACAATTTGATAATATGACATCTGCATGCAGAGTGAAATTCCTTCCTGAAGTTTTTTCAGATGGTTCCAAAAGTGTGTGTTTGAAATTTTCTGAAACATCTATACTAAACTCTGGAACATATAGGCTGATATATTTTAGTACTACTAATAATTCAGTGCTTGGAGTATCTAATCCATTTGTTGCCATAAAACAAAAATGTTCACTGAACACATCTTACGAATTTGGTTGGTGATATTTCGTTGTTTTTATCTTATTTTAATTGTTTCTACTTAATTAGAAGTAAAATTGTTGATATTGGCTAAAAGCATTACAATGAAACACTTTCGTACACTATATAATTTTGTTATTGTTTGAAAATGTTTATTATATACTTTTACCATTTAAAATTAAACTGCTCAATTATAAGGCTAGAAATTCCATTTCTGATTAAGAAATAATGAGAAATTAATAATAACTATAGAAATCCAGCCTAAAAAAAGATATATAATTATGTTGTGTTATGATTTGAAATGTATTTTAATTGTTAAGTACTATAAGTTTATAATTATTACAAGAAGTATATACTGTTTATTTGTTATATTTTATTTTTACTGTCTTATACCTAAGTAAAATGGACAATTTTTAATAATAGTGTCATAATTTGTTCCAATAAAAATATTAAAAATGTCCATGTTTTGAATATATATTTTTATCTTAATTTTTTTGTATATTGTCTTCTACAAACTGCAATTTACAAGGAGAGAGAGAAGCGTAAAATGTATAACTTATGGATTTGAAAAAGTATTTAGATTTAAACATAATTTTATGTAAGTACTGTTATATCAGACTTCATCAGAAACAGGTATTTTGACATTAATACGCTTCAGGTTATTTGATGCAAACTAATTGAAATATGGAAAAATTATTAATATTACATAGTTAAATGTCATAATCAAAAAATTAATGAAAAATAAAATTATACATTTTAGATACTTCCGACAAAATACCATTGATCATAGAAAATAAGACATTAATTATAGTAGACAAATTATAAAATAGTAAGGTATACGTTTTCCAATAATTTTATAAGGTATGAGTAATTTTAGTGATCCACTAATAATACTAACAAGTTCATTTTAAAATTCTCTCAAAAATAACTTTTTTTCCAAAAAAATACAGTAGTGTAACCATTGATTTTATGATATAGTCATGATACATATTTCATAGTAAATTATTAAATCAATGGATTTAAAGTAGAATACATATATATTTGAAAACAGAGCCTAAAAAGTATATTTTTCAACAAAATTTATAAATTATTTAAAAATTTGGTAATGTAATTATACATACTTAAATTAACTAATGAATGTATTCAGTAACACATTTTTTTTATTTTTATTTTTAATTTGTTGTTAAAAAACATAATGTATTACAAGTACAATTGTATACTACAAAAAATAATTGGTATAGGAAGAAAATGTTTATCATTGTGTAGAAACAATCTACAACTATATACATGTAATAATAATAATAATAAATCTAATTGGGAAAATAAATAAAATATTTAATAAATATAATTAATTAAATAATATTAAATATCTTTCTTAGTCAAAATTACAAAAAAAAAAAAAAAGGAAAAACAAACAAAACAATGAGCTTTCATTTTCAACATGGTAATTGTACAATAAATTATTTTAATATTGAACTTGCGAACAATAACAAAAAAAAAAAAAAATTATTTAGTATGATGAGGGAGAGCACTTAGGGGAATGTAAAAGAAGCAGAAGTAGTAATTATTAGTACATTAATTATTATGTTTTTTTTTATATATTAGATTTAATGCGTAATAAATATTGCACACAATCACTATGTGGACGGACAAAAGCTTTTCGTCAAAATAAGGATATTCTAATATTTATAATTAATATAAATGTTTTTCTCTATCACTTGATAAAAGTCTGTTCAATACATTTTTAGATTATTAAATACTTTTGTTGATTTTTAAATATTTAATTTACTAATACATGTGTATTTAAAAACTACTTTTTATCTAAACAAGATTAAATAGCAGCCAATTTGTTTTAATTTTCTTCTTGCCTTTTTAATTGTATTTATGACATAAAACAATCATGGTCGGTGAAACCTGTTGAACAAAAAAAAAAAAACAACAATTTTAAATTTAAGAGATATTTTGATACAATTTGTAACAATATAATATCACTATTAAATCAAATTTAAAAATATGATGTACATAACTATGTTCATAAATACATACAATATATTTTTGTCAAAATATAACTGAATTTAGAATGAAAATTACTTGGGAGAAAATGTTCTAAAAAAAGGTTAAGTTATAATTTATGATATAACTATGCATAAATACATTTTTTTTTTTTTTACAATTAAATAAAAAAATTAATAAATATTTAATTGATATAAAGATATAGTTCATCGATTTTTTTTTTTTTTTTATAGTTAATACTTTATAGTCTATCAATGTGTTATAAACATATATTTACCTAGTGAGATGTTTACTTTCTTGATGTACTTCCATTTCCGAGCTTTTAAATTCATTAAGTTCTTTTCGTATAGCTGCTTTATCTTTGGTTGTTAACCGTGTCCATGGTTTATCAGCTCGCCGATCATAATCATGTGCTTGAGTTACTTCTATGTAATCATTGAATCGAATAATCTAAAAATTCAAATAACACAAGTTCAATCTTTGAAATTCAAATAGAATTTATTATAAAATTATTCAGGACTTACTTTTTTTTCTTTCAATTCATCAACTGTTGGTCTAAAACTTAATTTTCTTAACAACATACGTTTCTTTTCTTCTTTCAACTTTTTTTCTTCTGCTGCTGTTTGTTCTAAAATTAAATTGAACAATGGTGTAACATTTTTATTTCAGTGAAACTATAAGCTTATAAAATAAAATATTTTACTTTTTAAGATGTTTCTTTCTTCAAGTTCTTCCTGAGTTGGTCTCATGCTCAAACGTCTAAAAAATATTATTTTAACAAACATATAATATAAAATTATTTAAAGACAATTTCTTTATGTTTAAAATTTTTATATTTCATATTAGTTTCGTTATTTTTAATATTTATAACTTTTACCTAATAAGACGAGCACCAATGACTTCTTTAGTTTCTTGTCGCTCTTTTTCACTTTGAACTTGAAGAATATTGCGATTAATGAGCTCTTGTCGATCAGGACGTAGAGCCAGTTTAATAGCAAGACTATCTTTTCTTGCAATTTTTTCAGCCAATCGATCTAATAATTAATTACAATCATTATGTTTTATTCTGATAAATTAAATATTTTATTGATAGTTAATTGAACTTACTGTCTAAATTATCATCTCTATATAATATAGGTCCATCACCTGAACTATCATCATCACTAGACTCATTGGGTCTAGCGTTTTCTTTATTTTCTTGTAATGAACAAGGTAATGTAATTCCAAATACTACTGGACGATTAGCACCACTGTTATAGCATAAAAATAAAAAAAATTAATACTAAAAAAACTAAAAACTAAGATCAATTTACCAAAAACGTATCCTGGGCTTTAATGGAACCCTTCTGCTATGCAGCGGTAAACAAATTAAGAAAAAAATAAACAAAAAAAAAAATCGGAGAGCCAAATTATTGCCAAATAATTGGCAATAAAGCAAACTATTCACTTTTCTTTCGTTTAACCTCGACTATTGCAAATTATTTTTATTTACTTCTTTAAGTTTGATATTATTTTGTATTTATTATTCAACAACATACTTGAGCAATTGTGATGATTCCTGTTGACTTTGATTAGGTGTTGATGGTTTTTTCAATGCCGACTTCAGAGGTTGTGCATTAAAAACAGGCTCTTTAGCAGGAATCTGTTCTATATGACTAGGAAAACTGTGACGATTTCTTATTCTAAATCCATTGGAATCATCATCATCATCATCTACTTCTTCTTCATCGTCATCATCATCTTCCTCCTCTTCATCATAGTCTTCATCATCATAATCATCTTCATTTGTTGTCATTTCCATTTCCTCATCATTGTTATCATTGGAACGATGATTCTGACGATCATTATCTAGAAAGACATATTTGTTTAGTTAGCGTAGGTTAATTATAATTCAATATTTATTATTACGTTGATATAAATATGATTGCTGAGTTGGTGAACTGAACATGGGCGGTGGAGGTATAGGCCCAACTTCAGATACCGGTATAGGGGGTTCGGGTAAATCAGAAAGCATTAATGATGAATGTCCAGGATAATTATTGTACATCATCCTAGGACTGGAATGATAATAGCCTGTCCTTACCCCACTGGCCATCTGCGACATGTTTTGTCCAGTAATAACCATTGATGATGTCCTATCACAATTTAATTTAGGGGATTCACAACCTGTCAACAGTAGAAAAATTAAGATGTTAAAAAATACATATATTCAAGAGTAACAATAGTTTACCTGATGGCAATAATGAATTGGGAGGTCTGGTGGGTGACTGACCTGATCCTGCCAATAATGACTGATTAGGTGCATGGTAACAGAACAAGCGTCTGGTGAGCGTACCACCAGGACCAGTTAAAGAGTTGGGTCGCTCAGGTTTTGAGCTACTAGGCTGTTCAGCTATGTGTTGTTGCTGTTGCTGCTGTTCAAAATTTAATTCTACCGGCTCACTATGGTCTTGCACCATTTCAGTCTTGTTATCTTTGTTCAAGTCTAAAACAAAAAAGTTTTAAAATTAAATACTAGTAATTAATAATTGCTAAATTTATAGAAATTTTTTTTTAAAAACAATCATTTTTATAAGATTAAAGATTTAGTTTATGAACAAAAATTAAACGACCATTAAAAACAAACTAATTTAAAATGTTTGGTTCAAAGATAGAAAAGAATAAAATAATAATTATTACTTTTATTGAATTCAAATAAATGTTCAGATCTAATACACACACATTTTGAAGGTTTATAAAATAATCGCCTGTGTTCATGAAAACATACATAGTTTCAAATCATATTTTTTTTTAAATTGGAGAAACAAAATAATAATTAAAGTACATTTCACACATTTTAGGTAACTTTTTGTTAACTCTTTATGTATATTTTCAATAATTAAGAAACTCAAAATTCATCTAATTTTTCTCAAAAATTTAAAACACTAGAAACTGCAATAAAATTAGTTTATTCAAAAAACATAGTTTCATATCCAAAAAAAATTTGATAGAAATGTAAAATATATATTAAAGATAAAAAAAAAGTCACCTGCATATCTAAATGTTTAGTTAAATTACTATGTTTACAGTTTAATTACATTGTATACAGTTAAATACATTTTTTTCAAATGCAATGTGACGTAAAATTTGTTAACAGTATCAGTCTAAATATATGACATGCTGCGAAATTTTTAATGACATATAACGTTTAAGTTGACTGTACTAAATGATGAAAAATTCTATGGATAACTCTGTAAATAGGAAACTTCCAAGATACGACTTTAGAATTAATTTACCTAATACCTATGTTACTTCTGTTTATACAAATTACATACATATCTTTATATCTTACACTGGTTTCATATTACTGAGTTACTTTCATTATAAATTATTAGGTTTTTATTTATTATTATTTTTTCATAGAATGTAAAATACCTACCATTTTCTATATTTTCAAAATATTATTTTGACACCGCATTTTTTTCATTAAATAAGGAAAAACAATAAATAGTAAATATAATTACATAAAACAATTTTCGTTGGAGCCGATTATTCCTAATAAATTCTAAATACACAAAGCCTAAATATTCTAAAATTAGATAGACACATTCCATTTTACGTCACATAACTTAAATGATCCAGAAATAGTTAAATAATCTATGGTCGTGTGAGCTGCCAAATATAAAATATTCTTTTCAAAATATCTGTACTTATCACAACTGTTTAATAACTATAATACTATTCTAATTAATGCACAACATTCTTATTCAAAGATCCTCGGTATCACAATTTAATTTAAATAGTAAACATATTTTTGAATGTATATGTAAAATATATATGTAATATATACTAATAATATTATACACCTTTGCCAAAATTTTAGATTATTAATTATTTAATAGTTTATAAATTAATCAACAAATATTTACCTGCATGAATAAATAGTTAAAGTATAGATATGTAAATGTTGACAATAATTGAAAATGTAGAATTAAAAGAATATAATAGTATATTATTTGGTATAAACTAAATTTATATTTTTGTTACTAGAATGTAATTATATATAAAAAGTTGAGGTAACGTAAAAATCATACTATAAATCATCACACATTATACAATTAGACGAAAATATTTATTTATTTTTATTCACAAATTTAAAAATAACATATAATGCCAAATTATTTTATATTATTATATATTTTTAAATACAAATAACCATAAAATTGAAATTTATATACTAAAAAATAATATATATTACATCATATGATGAAATTTTAAATAAATAGCTTTAGTAAAAATGTACTTAAATAATAAATAATACTATGCCAAAATATAAAATTAAATTTATAAACACAAAAAAATAAATCGAGGTATAAAAATATAATATTATTATTATTATTATTATTATTATTATTGTATTATAAATTAATAATAATGACAAAACCATGCAAATATGTAAAAAAAATTTTTTTTTACATTCTAGACATTAAAAATAGAATCCCTTTCATTTATATATATTTTTTTATTATCATATTTTGTTTAGAGATAATAATAATATTAATTTTTTAATTCTTACTGAACATGTAGAAATGTTAGTTCTATTAAAATTTAGATTTGCAATAATATTTTTCATTTACACTATACAGTTAATTTTCAAATTCAAATCTTAATGTTTCTATTTCAAATAATTTTAATTTTAGTTTTTGTTAATATCTCCATCTTATATTATTGAATATAAAATGTATAAGTAGAAATAAGTAGGAAGAGAAAATGTTAAGGATATGTTTATTTATGCTTTTGGGTGTATTTTTTTATTTCACGTTTGAATATTTTCTATAATTTTATTATTTTCTATGATCTATGGATATTATGATAAGTATTGAAGTTTTTTTAAGATGCTTTTTGTTCAATTAATCTGACTAGAAAATTTAAAACGGCAATTATTACAATAATTAAGTCTAAAATAAAAATACAGAATAGCAACAATGAAAGTTCGCAATTAATCTACAACTTATAAAATTGTTTTTGTCGTTATTGATATTTTTAGCAATTGGATTCTGATTTTAAACTTAATAATATTTTTTTTTTAACTTTTAAGGGGTAGCACAATGACCCTGACATAGATAAAAAATGCAGTAAAAACTTAAAATATAATAATCTAAGAATAGTAATAGGCCTCATAAAACGTACTTGAAAATTTCAACCAAATGCTTTGGCCCTTACAAAATATTTTATAGTATCGTTATTTGTTAGCCATCATCAAAAAATATTTCTATTTTTATTAATATTGTTAGTTAATTCTTAGAATAGTAATACGACTGTAAGGCTTAATATTATTTATGAAATCAGAAATAATATAATAAAACTTAAGCTTTTAACAACATAATTCACATGATTTAATAAAATAAATAAATACCTAATAAATATCAAAAAATGTTCTTTATTATATTCAATCAAGTATTGAATCATAAAATTGAGAACAATTATTTCTTAAATATTAAACTTCGTTATTATACAAAATACTTCTTTGAAGAGTGACATAATTACAAGAAAACTAATCAATTAGTCAGTTAGTGTCAGTAACACAAAAATAATATTGTTTTTTGAGATGTCGACGTCATTCATTGAAACTCGATAATTTATATTTTCTAAAAAGAAAATTGCCTAGATAAAGAAACATGTAAATTTAATTTAATATTGAATACCATTAAATTGGTCGTACGTCTAAAACGATTAATTTTACAGGAAGAAGGAAAAATTAAAATATCTAATAATTATATAATCGTATGTAAACGCATAAGAATAAACTATGATATAATTATATAACTATATAATTACTTTATTTATAAATAAATCAATATTTTAGAAAAACGGTTGTTATTTTACTAACATGTCACTTTATCACAAGATACAATATTTATTGATTTATCAAAAAAAAAAAAAATTGAATAATTGAATACAATATATTGCCAAGCAATTATGGAAGCATTAATATTTACATTATTAGTGCAATGCCATTGGTTATAGAATTAACTATTTTATGTCAATAAACATACTTTATTTATGAATAAAATCAATGGGGTATATACTTCATTATATTATAATCATATAACACGACAACAGTGGCGTAGGATACAAGCGCGCAGAAGGAAAACTTAGAAAAAAACGCTTTTTAAACAATTAAAATTTGATGCTACGATATTTTTTTAACCTTTAATTTTACTAATATTTTAAGTAGATATACAATTTATACTTATAAGTTATTACAGGGTTCATTTTAAACCTTGAAAATTTGCAATTCTCGCTTTATGACTAGCAAATTCATCGATAATTATTTTATATGAAATGTTTTATTTAAATATCCTTGCGCTATTTGCATAATTTCATCATTAAATTCACATGCAGTGTGTACAATTAGACAATATCAACGTATTTCAAAGAGTACAATGAAAAAATTTCGATTTGATTGTAGGATACGACTTTCGCACAATTTGGCGCTCCTTTGCAATTCGCGCCCCTGGGGTAGGCACAGTTCGGCACCTAACTCTTGCTACGCCACAGTATGACAAAACAGTTTCCATGTAAAAAAAAACATTCTTAATTGTAATTTAAACAAGAATATATCGCATAACAGTAGGTGCAATTCTTCAATATGTTTTGTACTAATGGGAAGAACATAATTTAGAAATTCGAAAGTGAGTACAGTATGTCATATAAGTAGGATCGACAAAGAAAATATCGTGTTAATATAATAAAATTAAAAATAGAAAACAATTTTAGAATCAGATTTCCAAAATAGTTCTTCAATTAAAAATTAAAATATTTACTATTTTATTTAAAATAAAATACAGTAATAGTTACATATTCTTAAAATTTAACATACTCATTAAATGTGAAAAAAACTCACTCATATCTCCGTGAGTGAAACCACGATACCTAATACATTAGCAATATAGTGTAAATAAATGATTTCCCTTCAAAATATCAATGTAAGAATTTAACTGTAACCACATGCGTGACGATTACGCAGGTTATTAGGGCGAAGCACATTAAAGTCAGGTAATGTTCAGCTACTACTACAGTTACTATAATAAAATTACTAACCATATGAACCAATTTTTTATTTATAAAATATCAATGAATTTATGATATTTTTGAGCAGTGCGTTAGCGTAAATTTACTGAATAAATTGTTGAAGTATGCATGAAGGAATTTAGGAACTTTATAACTGATCAAAAAAACCACAGTGAAACTTAAGATTTTAAAATTTGTCGTTTTCTTCATAAATAATTGAAAAACAATTTCAATATTTTTTTCTCTTTAAATTATCGTCATAACACGAATTCATAAATAGCTAAATGGAAATTTTGAAAAAAATAAAAATAAAAACAAAATGTTTTTTTTTTTATATAAATTTAGGGTATCACTCAAATATTACATTTAAAAAACTCTTAAAATATTCGCTACCTACAAATCATGAGTTACAATAACTTACTCTCCAATAAA